TTTTGCGGTACGCGGGCCTCTCACTGTTGTGGCCTCTCCCGTTGCGGAGCACAGGCTCCGGATGCACAGGCTCAGCGGCCATGGCTCACGGGCCCAGCCGCTCCGCGGCATGTGGGATCTTCCCGGACCGGGGCACGAACCCGTGTCCCCTGCATCGGCGGGCGGACTCTCAACTACTGTGCCACCAGGGAAGCCTCTCTTTCCCATTTTTTAAAAAAAGAGAAAGAGATATCCCTTCCTTTGCCGCCACCGCCAGCATGTGTGGAGTGCGGAAGCAGGCAGGTGTGAGTGCTGGGAGAGACACGCATTTCCGTTTTTCCAAATCATGTTCGGGTTTGAGGTAACAAACGTGCATATTCTTTTGCCTTCCCAGAGCCGTCCCTCAGGGAGAAAGGTGAGTGATCCAGGCAGTGCTCAGCAGGCAGGGAAGTGGCGAGCGGGCTCCCATCCGTGGCACTGATGGGGCTGCCCCAGAAAGCACCTTGGCCTGGCCAGCCTTCTGCTCCTAAGGATGAGCACTGGGTCCCGGGCCGCTGACTCGTGGTCTGATGACCTGGCATCACGTAGGGTCCGGGTGACGGATGCTCGCATCTGGGCCTTAGAGGGTGATTTTGCTGTGGTTGCCACAGCTCTGGGCTGTGTCTCAGCCTCGACCATGGTGGCAGCGGTGGGTGGCCCTGTGTCCACCCGACAGATGACGAGCCCTCCACAGGAGGAATGGGGGCCCGTCTGGGGCCCCCTGTGCCATGGGAGCGCAGGAACAGAGCCGGGGGCCTCAACTCCCAGCCGCAGAGCCCCGGGTTCCTGCCCTGCGGTGCCAGGGTCTCCGCTGTAAACAGGCTGAGCTTTTCACCTGTTAAACCCGTCTCAGCCCTTTCTGGCACAGGGTGACAGCAATTCAGAGGCAAAGCCCTGGGCCGGCAGTCCTGAGGTGCCCTTCCGGCCAGAGAGCCTTTGCTAAGACTGATGGTCAGCAAGGGCGTGGGAAGGTGCTCCCGCATGAGAACCTCAGGGGGCGGTCATATTTCTGTCCTTGTCGACCACTGAGGATAAACCGCGTCCCACGGGTGGCCTGACCAGGTTGTCCCCCCAGGGATCCCTGCTCACCTAGGTGCTGACCCCAGCACATGGGGAGACCGACGTGGAGCAGGGAATCTCAGCAGGTCCCCAGCTGGAGAGGTCTCTTGGCGGCCTCTTAGCCTGTGGCGTCTGGGGCTGCCATGCTGGTCCCCACCTGATAGAGAACGGCCTGGGTGCTGGAGGGGAGAGTCTGCCCTCCGCCAGGCTGCAGCCAGCGGGCGGGGGCCCTGGCTCACCGACCCTCCTGCAGCTGCTGGGGCCTGTGCCTGCCCTCCTGCTCCACGCGCCCGGCCTTGGGCCCCACCCCTTCCCCTGGCAAGTTAGCCCTCCGGCTTGTCACTCCGCCACAGAGCTGTCCAACGGGGAGGGGCTGCTGTTCTCCTCTGGATCTGGGGCGCCCCCAGGGAAGGTGGCTAGCCCTGGAGGCGCTTATGATGGCCTCCTGCGTGTGCCAGCCCGCACTTGCAGTGCCCTTGGGGAGGCTGGGAGGCTGATCCCCACTCGGGGGAGCCCTATGCAGCAGCAGGAAGGGCAAAGTTGTGTGTTGGGCGTTGTCCGTTCCCCGGCCCTCAAATGGGCCTGGTGGTTCTCCTTCCCCAGAGCCTGGGTCTCTGCTGCCCTCCCGGCCCACGGACCCCGGGAGCTTCCCAGGCCAGTGGGCTTCGCGATGCCGTGTCCCGGGCACTCCCTCTCCCTACTCCGCTTTCCTTTCCCCATTAGGTTCGAACGATACAGGTCAGGCCGATCCGTTCAAAATGCCAGTAATGGAGTGAGTATTCCTTCAGAATTCTCGCCTTTCTGGAGGCCGGGAAACCTGGGGTCTCCTGGGGTTAAAATATCCGGGCGAGGGGAGAGCAAGCTCTGGTGGGTGGGCTCTGAGGAGGTGCTGGCAGGCACATCCCTGGTGGGAGGGGGCAAAGAAGCCCCCGGGACCTCGCTGTCCCTTAGATGGGGGAGGGCCGGGGGGGTAACTCACAACAGCCCACCCGGGACCCTGGGTGGTGCCTGCCAGCTTTCCCCTCGGGGCCCAGCACGGGGGCCGGGGCTCAGCCCACCTCCTGCCCGGCAGGTGCTGAGCGAAGTGACAGAGGACAACCTCATCGACCTGGGCCCGGGGTCTCCAGCCGTGGTGAGCCCGACCGTGGGGGGCACGGTGCCCCCGTCTTCCCTCTCCTCCCAGCTTGCGGGCTTGGGTGAGTGTCCCGGACCTGCCTCCCGCCCCCTCCGCCCCCGCCGGCCTTCTGGGGGACCCGTGGGACAGCGTGTGCTTGGGTCCTGCTGTGCCACTTCAGCTCAAGGCTCGTCCCCTAAACTCAGAGTTTGAACCCGTGTTGGAAAGCAGGGGTGCGGGGTGGTCCAAGGGACTGGAAGCTGTTGGCTTTTTGAAGAAAGGTGGCTGCTGTGTTGTATGTGGCATATTCTCTATGGCTGGAGTGATTTCCTTCTCAACGTCAACCAGGCCAAGGGTGGCAAATAGGTATCAGCTCCTTGGGTGCTTGGCACGTGGGCCCAGGAAGGATGCTGAGGCCATGTCGGGGCTTGGAAGAGTCCGAGTCTGATCGGTGACGTCTGCCCTGGGCTTGTCAACAGGAAGGGGTTTGCTCTCCTTGAACTAACATCAGTGAGAGTGCGCCATCCTCCGAAACCTAAAACAAAAGATGCCATTTTTTCCAGTTTGTTCAGTTTAATGTGTGTCCGTGACTCTGGATGTCCCACTCGGGCTGGATGAGCCCAGTCTGGGACAGAGGAGGTCACAGTGTTACATGACCACTCAGCACGGCCCTCTCAAAATGCTGTCTTCCACCCTGCGCTTCTGTTTCCTTAATGTTTATCTTTGTAGCTTCATCTCATTTCAGTTGAATCAAGCTTTCAATTAGTGCCCTGGCAGTTGCTGTAATTCTGGCCTCTCGACATCTCATGTATCCGTAGCCACTGTTTCTCTTTCTCTGCCTTCAGTCCACCCAGCATGTGGCCACCAGGCTTAATACCTAAAATTCAGATTGGATTCTGCTGCCCCCGCTTTAAAAAGCTCTAGTGTTTCCCCATCGACTCCTTTGCCTGCGTGTGACCTCTTCAGCAGCCTCGTCTCTCCGCCGGCACCCTTCCCGCGTCACCCCCTCTGCCCGCTGCCCAGCCCCCCCCACCCCCGCTCCTGTGGCAGTTTCCGGTCCCCCGCCCATATCTCCACCTAATTCTGTGCTGCTGTCTGTCCCCCTACTCTGTGTACCCGCTTGAGGCCAGGAACTGCGCCAGAGTCACTGTGGTCCAGTCAGGGTCGAGCTCTGGCCGTGCGCGCGCCTACGAAATACTTGTCACATAAGTGACCTTGGCCCATGGCCTCTGTGACCGGCTCCCAGGGGCGCCTTGGTGTGGGCAGGAGCCTGCACGGCCCGCCTGCTCGCCGCTCGCCCTCATTCGGGAGCGACGTGGGGGGCTGTCCTCGCTCCCTTCTGCCCCCCCAGGACTTCAGCCCGCCAGGTGACTTCTTCCCAAGGTCAGGCCCACATCTGCTGTCGCCCCCCCCTCCTCTGTTCTGTTGCACAGACCTGGGCGCGGAGAGCGTCAGCGGCACCCTGAGCTCGCTCCAGCAGTGTCATCCCCGGGACGGCTTTGACATGTTCACGCAGACCAGAGGGAGCTCCTCGGCTGAGCAGCGCAAGACGTATGTGGGGACCCTCCCGGTGGCTCTCAGAGGACGCTGGGCGGGGCTGACCCCAGCCTGGGCCCACGGCCAACACAAAGGGGCCTTGTATTCACTGGGGCCAGGCCTTTCCACTCCGGTTGCTGGGACCTGGCGGTAGACACAGCTGTTGAGTGGAGGCCAGCACCCCGAGCCAGGCGGCCGTGCGGGTTCCTCCCATCTGCTCCCCTGCTCTCCCTGCCCCTGCGCTGCTGCTGCCTCAGAAACTTCGTCTGTAGGAGGAGCTGGGGGCACGGGGTGGGGCAGGCAGGCACCGAGTTGGTTCCTCGCCCCTGGGGTGCGAGCAGCGTCTTTCCTGACTGTGGCTCTGGCCAAGATGAGCCCTGTGGAATTAGGGGAGTTGATTCCAAGACACACAGCCCCCTGCATCTCCCTGGAACCTGCTTTGAGCTTTCTGTTCAGCCTTTGACCACCTCCCCCGGGACCCAGCATCTTGACGCATCCAGCTCTTTGAGTCCCGTACTCAGGACTCAGCAGGTTGACCAGAAGCCCAGGGCCCCAGGCACCTTTTAGCTGTTTTCAAAATGGATACAGCAAAAGAAGTCGGGGAGCAGAAGAGGACAACCCCGCAATGAGTGACAGACCCTCACCCTAGACCAGGAGACCACCTGCCTCGTCGGCTGCCACTGAGGCTGCTGCTTTCTTATTATTTATTTTATTTTATTTATTTATTTATTTAGGCCGCGTTGGGTCTTCGTTGATGTGCGCGGGCTTTCTCTAGTTGCAGCGAGCGGGGGCTACTCTTCGTTGCGGTGCACGGGCTTCTCCTGTTGCGGAGCGTGGGCTCTAGGCACGCAGGCTCGGTAGCTGTGGCTCGCAGGCTCTAGAGCGCAGGCTCAGTAGTTGTGGCTCACGGGCTTAGTTGCTTCACGGCATGTGGGATCTTCCCGGACCAGGACTCGAACCCGTGTTCCCTGCATTGGCAGGAGGATTCTTAACCACTGCGCCACCAGGGAAGCCAAGGCCGCTGCCTTTAAAATGAGAATTGTGACCCCTTTGCCTCTATCCAGTCTCTCCCTCTAAGCAGTTCCGGGCCCTCTGACACCCTGTCCTTGAGCTTTACAAAAATGCCTCTAGTGTTACTTAACAGAGGGAAATGGAGGTGGTACAGAGTCCCAGACCCCAGAGGGAGCGAGTGGCTGGGCTGTGCTTGAACCCAGGCCTCGTGGCTTCAGCTGCGGCCAGACCACGACCTAAATGCCGGAGGCCTCTGAGTACTCGTGAGGAAGGTGCCGAAGATGGAGGGTGACTGCAGGTCACCACCTGTCCATCCCCCGTGACCACTCTGCTTGTGCTCCTTCGTCCCCAGGGCCACCTACGAGGACCCCCAGGTCGTCGGAGTACTTGCTTCTGCGGTAGACGGTCGGAAACAGAGCCCCGAAGTGGTAGGTCTTTCTGCCTGGGGGGAAAGCGGGTCCGTGTGGTAAAGCCAGCTGGAGAGTTAGGCAGAGCTGGCGGCGCGGAGGGCAGACTGGGGTGAGCCATGTCAGCTCCTGAGTGCCCCCCACCCGTGGGGACGCCCGTATCAGGACACCCAGGAGGAGACAGGCCCAGAGAGGCAGAGATGTGTGGAGGGCACCCCGCGAGCGGCCTTGGGCGGGGCTGCACCCCGGGGAGGTCTGATGGGGAGCCCCTGCTTTCCCCTGTGGTGGCTCTGAGCTCTCAGGGCGCAGGGCTCCTGTGGCCGGAGAGGGTCTCTCCCCAAAGGTTGCAGTGCCCTGGGGTGGGCGGCTCTCTGACAGAAGGGAAACGGGGGGGGCCTGGGCCGGTCCCTGCAGGCCTGCCATCAGAAGGTGGCTGGTGGGGCTGGCTTGGGGAGGGGGCTGGAGGCGGGGAGCAGCGCTGAGGGCAGAGGTGCTCGGAGATGAAGGAGGGGCTTCTGTGATTTCTGGGAGATCACAGGGCCCCGCAGGAAAAGGTTTGTGCCTCCATGTGCTTCTCGTGAGGTGGTTCCCTTTTCGCCTGAGAAATGTGTGTGGCCACGAGCGAATGAATGTGTGTGTGTGTGGGGGGGAACGTTGCGGGGACAGTGGCCCCAGAACAGCCGCCCCCTGGCCCGCCCCATCCCGGGCTACAAAGGGGCAGCGCTCATCTGTCCACTGGAGGGGAGCCTGGCTTCCCAAACACCAGCCCTTGGCCTCCCGCAGCCCCTGTCCAAGTGGCCCCAGGCAGGCAGCAGTGCTGAGGCCTGGCGTCCCCGAAAAAGCGCATCCCCTGGTCCCCATGTCCCTCCCGGCTCAGCCAGCTTGGTGAGGGCCGTGCGTCCCTCTGCACCAGCCACCAGGGGGCGCAGAAGAGCCACCCAGGCTGCGGCGGCGCTCGGTGCCCTGCCCCCCCCCCGCAGAACCCCTGAGGCCGGGACTGCCGTGGCCCAGTGGCCGTGTTGCTGAGGACGGCCCCCGCCCCAACTCAGGGCACCAGGGAGCCAGTAAGGCCAGCCCCTCCTCCTGACCCAGCTGGCCAGGCCGGCCCGGTCAGCTCTCCACTCTGCCTCCAGGGCCTGCCCCGCCGAGGCCAGGAGTGCCCTTCTGCCACTGCCTCTGCCAGTGCCCAGGGTCCAAGCACAGGAATGCAGCCAGCTCCCTGCCTTTCACCCGGGGTGCCTGGCCTGCCTCCTGTTTTCAACATTTCCACCTGCAGCAGGCAGGCTGCTCCTCATGTGCCCTGCTCGCTGGGGTGATGCAGGGAGCAGGGTCCATGTGGGCCCTGTGTGTGTGTGTGTGTGTGTGTGTGTGTGTGTGTGTGTGCGCGCGCGCGCACACACGCGCGCCTGTCTGTGGGTGTGTCTTTGTATCTGTGTGCACACACACTTATATGCATCTTCAGGCCTGTACTTCGGGTTATGGTGTCCCATATCCTAAACAGTGCTGCCCTGGAAATGAAACCTGGGCCAAGGGAGAAATTAAGAACACGGTAAAGGAGAAAAAACTGTGTAGCCACACCTTCACGGTACAACCACATCAGTAGTTCTAACTTTAAATGCTTTTCATCATTTAGAAAAGGCAATATCCCCAAATTCATCATTCACATTAAGCGTTTGGAAAAAGAACACACAGGTAACTGAGGAGGAAAAAGATAATAAGTGAGAAGAAAGTAGAGATGATTGTGCAAAAGCTGGTTCTGTGAAGCCGCCCCTCGGTGACCCTGAGAGCCCAGGCGGAGGGCAGCCCCGGCCGGCCTCCTGCGGCCCCAGGAGGTTTCCCAGGGGTGCGGGAACAGGGGTTCAAGTGCGTGTTACCCTCTTGGGGTCCCTGTTACTAAACGCCTCTTCTTTTATCCAGGAGGTAAGGGCGTGTTTGGGGGGTGGGCCGCTGGGTCCCAGCTCCTCAGGTGACAGGGCACCAGCTCTGACAGTGGCTTTTCTGTTTCCATGACATGTGCTATTGGCTTCTTTACCACGGGTCTTGCTGTGACTTTCCTTTCTGGGACTTTTCTGTCCTCGGCCCAGAAGAGAGGTAAAGGTGGGGACTCTGACCTGGAGCCTATAGACAGCTGGCTCATAGCCCAAGGAATGGTGAGAGGTCACCAGCCGCGCTGAGCCCCTTGTCCCCCCACCACCACCACCCCCGGCGCTTCCCTCTGTCTTCTCGCGGGTGCCCAGTCTTCCCCTCCTGTCTGTCTCCTTAAGCTGCAGACTTCCAGCCCCAGAAACTCCATCTCTGGTTTTCTGTGGGGGTCCGGGCGTTTGCAGGAGTGAGGGGAGGGCCCTTTCCCTCCTTTTACCGTTTCTGGAGCTCTGGGCAGTATTCACTTTTCCAGGATAAGCACAAGTTACTGTGGCCTCTGCTTGGGAGGGGATGTTTCTGAGAGGACAGGCTCAAAGCATCTGACTGGGCAGAGAACAACGGCCAGCCTGTGAATGTGGCAGTCTAGGCCGATGGGGTTTCGTCCTGTAATTGTTTGTGCCCACTGTGTCCCCCGGAAGGACCTGAGACCTCCTAAAGAAACACAAACGCTACTGGAACGGAATAAGATGTGGGGATCATACACACAGTCAGCCTCAGGAAGTAGGGCGTCCATGGCTCCAAGACCCGGGAGGATCCCTCCTGCCTCGTGATCAGGTGGCCCCGAGTCTGTGCACAGAGAGGTCACTTGCTGCAGGCTGCCTGCGGTGCAGGGACGATTTCACCTCTGAGACCGGGGCCTGTGCATGGTGGAGCCTGAGCGGGAGACCTAGACACACCAGGAGGAAGCCGAACTGACCCCTTGGGGCCGGGCCAGCCTGGGGCCAGGGGAGGGCTCTTCAGGCTGGGCCAGGATGCCCGAGCCTGCGGGCAGCACAGGGTCACCTGCCTAAGCAAGTGTGACTAGGACACGGGCCAAAGGGCTGTCAGAGCCGGGGGCCGGGGTGTCTGCCCGCCCAGCTGGGAGCTGGCGACCCAGCACAGCCGCACTCGGGGGGCCGTCTCCCTCCACCTGCCGGCAGCCCGTCCTGCTTGCTGCACCGGACCCCAAGGCCGTTCTTAGGGACATGGGCTAGCCCGGCCCCTTGTTTGCTCCTATGGGGACAAGCAGGGGCTCTGGCCCACACGTGCGGGTGGCCTTAGAGCAGCACTCCTGGAGACCACGTCCACTCCACTGTCCAAATTGGGAGGATCCAGCCGTGTGTCCTTGTGCCTATTAGTCCTGCAAAAAATGATACTGCCCACACAGCCGCCCCGCGTGTGGCTTGGTAGCCGGTGGTGGCACCCACCCCTGCCCGGCCCACCTAGAGCTCCAGTCTCCGACTTCAGAAACAAGCCCGACTAACAGCTAACCCTGTGTCTCACCTGCCCGACTGCAGTGTTTTGTTTTGTTTTCTTTTAAACAGCGTATATTAATTGCTTTGCCTCATTTCCCATAGCATAGAAACCCTGAGTCTTTCCAAACCTGCCAAGTACAAATTCTTTACTTGGAAACTTTTTGTACTATTAAGCGAGACCAAAGGGCCTGTAGACTGAGCCTCAGGTTGGGGAGGTGGCAGGAGGACTGTCGGGGGGCAACAGCCCCTGGAAGCATTGCACCCGAGCGCAGCACTTGGTCCGGCCGCGTTGGACATGGTGCAGGTTTCCTTGCGGGGAGGCATGTCGGGCATCCAGGTCCAGCGCCAGGCCCGTTACCGTGGAGGAGAGACCTTCTCGAGCGGCCTGGGGACGGCGGTGCTCGCCTCTCCCGGCGGCGGTCGGAGGCCTGTCACCCACACGCAGGGGGCAGCCAGGATAGGTGAAAGAGTATGAGTCGCAGCAGGAACCCAAGGAGCTTAGTGAAAAGTCTGCTGCTGCCCAAGCCCAGGCTTGGGGCGGGGCCACCTACGCAGACCGGGCGGCGCCCTTCCTTCCCCTTTGAGCCGGTGACCCTCCCGCCCACACGCAGGGCTGCCTGTCTGAGCCCAGGCTGGCCCACCCCTGCCACGTCCGCGGCTGCCCTCCGCATGCAGCACCTCAGCCAGCCAGCCCCGTCCAGCCGTCCTCGGAGCGAGGGAGTTTGGGGGGCCGGTCTGTATCCAAGGGTGTACCCACACGCGCTCCCTTTATTTTTTTCTCGTTGCATCTGTTTCCCTTTCCGTCTCCTTCCTCCAGCTCACACTCTGGCAGCCCCCTTGCCCGGGAGGTGCTCACCCCAGGGCGTGTGAGAGCCCAGGTTGCTCAGGGTGAGAACGCTGAGGCCTCTCTGGCCTGGGGATGTGCCCGCAGCTGGAGCGGTGACAGAGCAGCTCCTGTTTGCTGGGCAGCGTGAGTGTCTACTGTGTCTGAAGCGCCTGGTTTTGGGGCAGCTTTGCCATGCTCCTGGCGCCGTGCTCCCCCGTCGATTCCCAGGCAGGCAGCTCGTGAGTCCAGGCTGCGTCCAGCCTGGCAGGGCGGCCCATCCCCCCGTCACGTGAGCTCTCCTGTCACCCACACCCGACTCCACGTGACGCACGCCCTCGGCCAGCGCCTCTCAGTCAGGGCTCAGGCCCCACGGCTCCGGCATCCCTGGGTTTCTGGGTTAGAAACGGAAGCACCCGACTGGATCTGAAGGGCTCTGGGGTCGTGAGTGGCGGAAGCCATCGCCCCGTTTCACAGATGAGGCTGAGGCCCCAAACCTGGGGCTTCTTGGGGCCCCGGAGGTGGGGAGCTCCTGGGACGGAGCAAGTCCACCCCTGACTTGTGGGGGGCGGGCTTGTTTTGAGGGGTGAGGAGCTTCTCACGTGTCAGTGTTTATTTTCTGAGCGTGCTGGCTCTCAAGATCGGTCCAGAGGAGAAAACTGAGGCGCGATCCCTGGCCCCAAGGGACCAATTCTGAACAGTAACAAAAAAGTTACCAGCAAAACCTGAAGGCCTAAGGCGCATGACACCTTAGTGTCTTTTTTCAAACTTTGCCACCCGAGGAATCTCCACTGCTCCTGGGCGGGCCGAGGCTGGTGGGTGTCAGGGGTGCCCCCCACCCCCAACCCCTGCTCCGGCAGCTGGGGTTGGCGGGTTTCTCCCTGGAGACACACTGACTTCCCACGCTTGGTCCTGGGGATTTGGCGGTGTGGCACGAGACCTCCCTGAGGCTGGGTGTTCTGGCTTAGAAGCATCATGATAACGAAAATTGGCATCTCCTGTCATGGGAACGTGTCGGGCAGAAGCCCCGTCAGCAGGCGTAAGACTGGCCGGTCGCACCCTGGATGCCGCTGGTCCCTGCTCCATGGGGAGGGAAGTCGGCTCCAGGTGCTGCCAGCAGCCCCTTGGCGTCCTGCCCGGAGGGAGGACCGTGAGTCATTTCGGCATGGTTTGAACTCCTTGGTATTTTTTCATTTCAACATTCTTAAGTCCCCAGTAAGTCAAAGAAATAAAATGGCAACATAGGCAGAATCTCCCTCATCTGATCGAAGTTGGCCTGAGCCTCTCTGAGACACGTGTGGAAGCCAGAGGAGGGTCTGCCAGCCTGGCTATGTGACATTGGGGTGAACCCAGCTACAGACACAGTGCAGGCAGTTTTTCTAGAAATAGCAAGCTTGTGAGTGAGTCCCAGGAGGTACCTCCCAGACCCAGCCAAGGTGAGGATGCAGGTCACCTCAATCAAGGGCCATCCACTCGTTTCTCTAGTCTGGGAGCCAACATTTCATTAACGTGGCTTCGAAAGGGTTAAAGGTTCCTTTCACTTATCATATGATCATTTTATTATGCCTGACAGCAGCTTAACGATTTCTAGCCAGATAGATTTTCAGGCCCTTGGCATGGGTGGCCCAGGCGTGGACAGGGCCCAGGCACCAGGGGGGTGCCCTCCTTTGCTCAGGACCCTGGTCCCCCCTCCCAACCGCTCCCCTGCTCCTCCCGCCCCCCCCCCCGCCCCCCCCCCTTTCCCAGCCACACCAGCTCTTTTGCTGCATCTCATTCGCGCCAAACCTGCTCTCTCCTCCCGCTTTTGCAATGCTCTTCCTTCAGCTCTTTCCTCAGACGTTCCCAAGGCTTACCCACCTCCCCAGCCCAGTTCCTTCAGGTCTCTGCCCAGATGCCACCTTCTTAGGAAGTCTTCCGACAACCTGACTGAAATCAACAATCCCCGCCCCGTATTCCCTATGCCCGCTCCTTGCTTTATTTTTCTCCACCCCCCCCGACTCCCCTGCTTTCAGTTGCACTTCTTTTCTTTGATGCTGGGGCCACAGCCAGCCATTGAAAGCTGGGAGGAAAGGGTGGGATGAGGGGAGGCTGCTGCATTCAGGCTGCTTCCTGATTTTTCCACTAAAGAGACACAAAGACAACCAAAGCCTGCGGTCCCTTTTGTCATCAAAGCCCTTGCTTTGGCCTGTGTCTGCTGGTGGAGGAATGTGCCGGCCTGCTGTGGGCCAGGCCACACCCAGGCCTGGGTGCCCTTCCCACTCAGAAATGCCCCAGGACACCATCCTTTCAGTGAGTGAGCCTGGACCACCCGCCCCCTGCCCTGCCCTGGGCGGATGGCCACGCAGCCGCTCCGTCCTGTCGGGGACGGGACTGTCGCAGACGGAGGGGCTCCACACCGGCCTGCAGGCCGGCGCCCCAGGGCTGAGAGGCAGACACGCTAGTCAAAAAGTTATCCACTGAAGAACGCGTACCGCGCCTCCCTCCCCACTGCGTCCCGTCCTGTCCCATCGCTGGCCCCGCTTCCTAGAGCTGCTGCTTCCCTCACCTGCCATTTCACACGTGGCTGCCTGCGTGCCCGCCTGCTGTGCCAGCGTGTTCTGCTCTGTGTACGTCTGGCTCCGTCGGGCTGCTTGGGTTGACGTGTCCGCTGTTCTGTCTCCCCTGCCTGGCCGCGGGCTGCCTGGCCGCTGCCTGCCGCTTCCATAGATCCCCGTGGTGCAGCCGTCTGTCATGGACGACATTGAGGTGTGGCTCAGGACCGACCTGGTGAGACTCGACTTTTCTATCTCGTGTGGGGAGTGGCGAGGCCCAGGAGCCTCTGAGGACAGGAGGCCTGGGGGCCCGGCGCGGGGCCGCTCCCTGGGGAGGTGGAGGAGGGGAGGCCGGGCAGGCGCCCCCGGGGTCCGCACCTGCTCGGCCGGCCACACCGCCCCCAAGACGCACACTGACTTTTCCCAGTTACTGCGGTTTCAGGTGTGTGTGTGCTTGGGTTCTTTTGGTTTTGGGTTTTTGTGCGCTTTTCAGTTTATATTTTTATTTATTTATTTTTTTGGCTTTCATTTTTTTCCTTTTAATTGTGAAATATACCCAGAGACATTGTTTTCTTTTAATTGTGAAATTTACACAGACATGAGTTGGTGTTTGTTTTTTAATTCACTCTCATCCCCCTTCCCCAGCATCTCCTGGTATCTTGGATTTAATGGTTCCAGGGACCATTGTCTTTATCCCCAGAGATGGGCAGGAAGGATAGGACATCGTGCAGCTGGCAAGGGCAGCCGGTCTGAGAGGGGAGGGCTGTGCTGGCCGGTCCCCCGCTGCCCCCCGCCAAGCACTCTCACCACCACCCCCAGCCCCCCACCCCCGGGGCTGGAGAAGAAATGCACCCTGGGAGGGGAGGTGTTTGCCCATGTGGGAGGGGAGGTGTTTGTCCATGGTCACGGCTGGTGGGACTCTCCCTGTGACCTGAGGACAACTCGTCTCTTGCTTCTCGCTGCCTCCCCTCAGGACACCCCCCCAGCTAGGACGGCAGACCTCAGCCCCCAGGACGGGCCTCCTGCCGCTCCGGGCCAGCCCCCAACCCCCCCACCAAAGCCGGGCTTCCCGGAGACTCGGGTGCCATGCCAGGGGAGGAGGGGCCCCCCATTACGCCCTTCCCAGGGAATGCCCGGAAAGAAACAGCTCCCATCGTAGAGCAGGCAGCCCGGGGCCCCCACCTCACGGGGGGGCACCCGCGCTCGAGGGCCAGGGACCTCCCAGCCAGCCGCGCAGCAGGTCAGGGGCAGAGCCAGGAAGGAAGCCTGGGCCGTGTCTGCTTCCCTATCACTGTCTGTGCAGAGTTCCCAGTGGCCCCCACGTTCCGCACAGAATTGACCCCCCAGAGCCTCCCCAGTGACAGCATCGGGGCGCAGGAGGACGCTGCCAGAGCGCCGCAGGGTCCGGCCCCGTGCTTCCAGGCCTCACGCGGTTCCCAGCTGCTGGCGTGGCCATGACCTTCCAGCGCCCTGTGGCTGCCCGCGAGGGGACGCCCAGTGGAGGAGCGCCCGGGGCCCTGGCTGCCTGAGGCGCAGCCTCCTCCTGGCCGCCCTGCAGGCCTGCCCCGCGGCTCAGCCGGAGAACGAACCTGCACCTTTTAGAATTTTTGCTTTCTGAGCCTTCTGGGGGATCAAAACCTAGAACCTACTATTTTTGTTTTTACTTTTTAAAAACAAAGTTTCTGTGTCTCTGATAAGAAGAGAGCAGTGCTTTGCTCTTACAGAACTTGGGGGGACGGGAAGTAGGAAGTTTTGCTCGGGTGCCGCCCTGGGGTGGCCGAGGGCGGGAGCGGCAGCAGGGCGGGCGGGTCCTAATGCCCTCTCTCTGCTCTCCCACAGAAGGGCGACGACCTGGAGGAGGGCGTCACGAGCGAAGGTAGGCCTGCCCCCCACAACCCGCTGCTGCTGTGCCCGCCCCAGGCTCTGGGAGCCCCCCCCCCCCCGGCCCCCGCCATGCCGCCTGGGCGGGCCTCCCCTGCGGGCTCCTGGGCTGTGTCCCACCCAGGCCTTATGCTGATGAGGGAGGTGCCACAGCTGGTGAACAGTAGGCACAGTTGCCTGCACTGCTGACCAGTTTGCCCCCGCCAGGTGCTCAGTGCAGCAGAAGCAAGACACATGCCATGCAGTCAGCAGGGCACACAGGGAACCCCTGGGCCTGGCACCCTGTGGCCGCACAGCTGGGCCCCTCTGCAGGCACAGAGCCCTGCTTGGTGGGTGTGGGGGGGGGGTTTCCCTGCCAAGTTCAAGGAGGAACTCACCCCTCCGGCTCCCCCTGCCCTGCCTTCTATGCTGACCTGGATGATGGAAAAGCTCCAAGTCAGTGGTGGGGCAGGAATCCTAACTGGCACACCCCCCCCCCCCAGCCCGACAGCCC